CCCCAAAACCCCAATCCCCAAAACCCCAAAACCCCAAAACCCCATTTATTATAATAGAGATTGAGACAAATACTATAAAATGGAAAAAGCTGATGACTCCTTAAAGTTAGATTTCAAAGCACTTGAGGAACAAACACTCAAGGAAACTAAGTAAGCAATTGTGGTTTTGACAATGCCAACAGCAAATAGCGGATGGGGTTGCACAGATGTCTAGATTTTCAAAGAGATTTAGATAGTACCATAGTATTTCCATGCATGGTTTGGTCATTACTATTTCTCATGAGCTCTAAGGCCTCTAAACTGAATCCTGCATGGCATATTCTTTTATATAATGCTTATATTTGCTCTAAACTTTGCTATAGAACAATGGAGGCAGAGGAACTAGAGATCGAGAAAATGAAGACATCTGGTAAGTAAAAATCCTTGAATTATGGTTTAATCATTTACATAGGAGAGACTATTGATAAATCAAAGGGAAAGGAAAAGGATAAAGGACTCTCAGGGTTTGCAGACTTTCTTTAAAGAATTAATTATCCCATAAGAACTCTCTTCTGGATTTTGTTACTGAGGGGTGGAATGACGTTATATAAAAGATAGAATTTTAAAAGACTTTTAGCTAAAATTTAGAAGTAACATTCTCTATTATTTGCTTCAGACCAACTGGGGACATATTTCTTTCTTCGGGCAACTCTGCATGTCCAATGAAGCCATGAAATTGATGTTTAAATATCTGGGTTTCTACATTTACTCCATTTTTGAGGCATTTCAGTGAGAATCTTAAAGCTTCGTCTCTAATAGCATCAACTTCTGCAATTATTATCTTCATAGGAGGAAAATCTTTTAAAATATCGTCACCTAGGTTTTTAATTCAGGATATAGGATTTCTTTGCTCTTCTTTTGTTGTATATAACTCTAACACCATTGGTAAATACCAATAGTTTAGGTTAACATCATCTATTCCAGTTAGAAGAGAAGGACTAAATGATTGCCCATCAGTTGCTGCTCAAGGATACTCAAGGCAGATACCTTTGGGTACCTTGAGGCCTCTTTGAATCGTCTGGGAAACCACTCCAACAGCGATATTTCCTCCAGCTGAATCTCCCTCAAGGACTATTTCACCAAAAGTAAGCTGCAAATATTTTTCTGCATAATTCTGAACCCAGAGGTAAATTTGGAATCAATCGCTTAATCCCTTTGGGAACTTATGAGTTGGAGCAAGTCTATAATCAATACAAAAGATAGGGTAATTGGTCTCTTGAGCTATCTGAGATGTGATAAACAGATCTTTTGCTGAGCTTCCTCCTATCCAAGAGCCTCCATGAATATTTACGATTACTCTATCAACATAAGAAGGCTCTGATGTTGGGTTTAACAAATTTCCCGTAGTCCAATCAACTCTTCCCCAGTCATTCTTCGAGATTACTCTAACTTTAACTGTATAATCTGGATCATATTGAGCCTTATCAATTGTGAATGGAAGTTCTAGATCTTTCTGAATCATTTCAGGCACTTTATTCTCTTTTAAATTTTCCAGAGACAGTTCATCACTGATACACTTTGAAACGTAAATAAGCTTATTTACAGCCAGATCTCCTTCAAATTTAGACTCTTTATCTTTCGCAAGGTCTTCGTGTTTCATTAACACACCTTTGGTCAGCATATCAAGTGGCAACATGGCTTCAAAAAGCCTTCCGTCTTCGATTGGATCTGGAATCCCCCAAGGGAAAATTGAACGAGCACTGTATGAGAATTAGATGGTTTGGTGGGACACTTACGAGTAGAGCACTGACCATCCAATATACGAACTTATTTGGCCAAAGGTTGTCGTTGCTGGAAGACAATGAGACCCAACAGCATATCCTCTGTGTACTTGATCCTCTGCTTTCTTCATTAAATCCAAATATTCCATCATATCCTTTCTATTTATCATTTTTAGGTGATTTTTATAAGATATGGGAATGGAAACATTTGCCTGAGCCAAATAAAACTAAACATTCTTGTGTAGATAGGTTAAATATTTGCGATTGTGTATGATTTTATTAAAAAGTGTATAGAGTCAAAACCCTCTCCACTGTCACCGAGAAATGAAACTTACTCCTGATCTTGATAATCAATGTATTTCATGTTGCTGGTGAGTAGCTCAATGTCATCATTTGGTTCAGATTGATAGAAAATATCACTTGGGTCTTCTTTAGCCGCTCCAAAAATGAAAACAGTCTATATGCATCTTCACTGAGAATTTCTCAATATGACGTGATTTTAAATAATTTTAGTAGATCAGGAATCTTTACAAAACCCTTCAACAATTTAAGACTTTTGAGAACATCTAAAAACAAGAGACAAATAGAAATACTAAAACTCGATATATCCTGCACCTTAAGTGCTCCTTCGGGAAGAACAATTGACTTAACTTACAAATCTAAACAAATCATTTCATTTGTGAAGGAATCGCTTTCTTTCAGAAGCTCCATCACTCAGATAAATTAGTTCAATTCAACTTTGTACATTATTCAATGCTTTCTGAAAAGCTCTAAGGACTAAGCTCAAAGCTGAAGTGTTCACCTTCCTTTCTCTTGTTAAGAAGGTCTTTAGAAGTTCGTCCTCATCAAATCCTGTAGAAGTTTTTAAAGCCTTTTCAATCATGGGGACAACTCTTGAAAGAGCATGAGTCTTATCCTCACTCTTGAGCTCTTCATTCGGATTTCACTATAGTTATAAATATGAGGGCAATTCTCGAAGCGAACTGAGAGAAAGCTTGGTAACGAGGTTCTAGTGATAAGTTCTTACTTCTTGAATCAATCCTTCATTCCTCTTGCTATCAAATCTTTTATTCAAAATTTTCTGAACAACATCGCTTTTTAGAATTTTCTCATTAAGATTATAGCCCATTAGCACTAATTGATAGTCCAAAGTATCAATGCAGTCGGTCATCAGGTCAATATGCTCCTCATATGGCTCATAAGTAGCATTAGCTTGCTTCAAGAGCATCACAGCTTCCATTACAACGTGGTGTCATTGGTCCAAAAGAGGATTAAGAATAGCTTCCATCTCTTTCTGACCACAATAAAAAGAGTACTGGACTGGGTAATGATATTTAGAGTGGTAATGATCAATGACCTCTTTCTCTTCATACTTTTTCATGAAAAGCTCCATAACTTTATCAGGTCTTGAAGTAACATAAGTTCTAACAATCTGAGGTTCCATAGTTGCAAGTAATTTTGTATTTGTATTAAGCTTCAGCTAACAAAGCCTTAATTGGGGTTTTGGGGTTTTGGGGTTTTGGGGTTTTGGGG